ATGAGCTTTGATGGTTAATTGTTAAAACTTGCAGTTTTAAAACAAAATAAAAGGTAAATATACACTGGGCGCCAAAATTAAAGCATCACTAAAATTTGCTGAAAATATTGGTCATTTTCAGATGCCTATATCTTCGCGAAAAATAGCTATAAAAAATATTGTGACAGAGTATTTTGTAGCCCGAAGTTTCTAGTGTTTGAATCGGGAATTCAAAAATTATTTTTATGTAGTTTGTTCCTTTTTTTTAAAAGATGAAGCGCAGTAAGCGAATGTTAAAAAATGTTGGTCAAGTTTGAGAGGATGCATGGGCCAAATTAAATTTTTTCTGGTAATTCCAATGGAAAACTTTTAAAAAGCAAACATTTCTCTTTAATTTCGTTTTTTTAATTTTGTTGTACAGTTTTTATTGGCCGAGTTATTCGTCATCATATGAGAAAAGGTACTTTCCACTTTGACCACCTGTAACTTGCGAACGCATGATCGTATAGAAAATTCCAGAAGTGATTTGGAAAGCTGAGAGATTTCTCTTTAAAGACCTTTAGTTGCCAATTTGTTGAAATTTTTTTTCGTCGTCTACAGTCCATTTCAAAATAACGTAAAATATTGCATAATTACCATTTTTCACAAAACACGATGCCATTTTAACAAAAATTGTGGAATCTTCCAGGTGTCTACGTTTTTTTTAAGTTAAAAGTACACGTAACCCCTGTACCAAAGGCCGCATTGATCAGATTTTTTTTACCCTGTGCCCTCGATAGTGAAACTTGCGATACAGTCTGAAAAATTGGTGAATGACTCTTTTGCGGCACGTTTCCTCTTTAAAACGATTTCGCAGCGTTTGAACTGTTGTGGTCTGTGTCTTCTTAGTTTCACTTTATTTCAGAAGAAAGTAGAGATGTCAGAAATTTAGCAAACACATTTTTAAACAATCTCTTCGCAATGACAAAAGGTGCACAATACTGCCGGCATTAGCATTACCTAAGGCGTACCACGAGGAGGTTTCACTGTCGGATTTACGCTTCACTGCGTATGTACAAGCATGGAGAGATGAGACCCTGTGGTTCGTCACTCCCACAGTATTTTTTGACTCCAAACTCACTCTCCGATGCGTGCGTGCGTGCATGTATGCGTATGTTGTGTTTAATAATGGGTATTACCGCCTCTCCGGTTGATTACTTCTTTTAATCGTTTGCGCATATTAATGCACCTCCGTATGATTGACTGTGGTATTCTTCGCCAAATTTGGCGGAGGGCGTGCGCTAATTGCCCTAAATTCGCCAAGTCTGGGTATTGCTGTCGCAACCGACGCCCAAGAATATCCCAAACATGTTCAATGGGATTTAAATCTGGGCTCACTGGTGGATGGTCAAGAACTGGTATTTGATTTTCTTGAAGAAATTGTTGCGTATAGCGTGCAACATGGGGCCTTGCATTGTCCTGCATAAGCAGAAAGCGGTTGCCCATACGCTGACGCAGAGGGAGCACAACGGGGCGCAAAATCTCGTCCACGTACCGCATGGCGGTCAAACCACCACGTGAAAGAATGACTAGCGGTGTACGTGAATACCGCGATACTCTGGCCCAAACCATAACGGATCCCCCATGGAACGCGGTGATCGGCCTTGTATGATTGGCATCGTAACGTTCGCCACAACGACGCCAAACATGTTCCCGTCGGTCGCTCCCTCGTAGGCAGAATCGGGACTCGTCTGTAAAAAGAACATTTGTCCATTGACGCTGAGACCAGCGTATGTAACGACGAGCATAAGCTAAACGCTGCCATCGATGTCTAGCAGTTAGCAACGGGACTCGTACCGGGCGCCTCGAACGTAAGCCAGCCTCCCTCAATCGACGCCTCACGGTGTTGTTAGAGATCGTGCGTGGCGGGTTTTGCCTGCGGTTCGAAATTTGTTCCGCAATAGTGCGTGCGATAACAAAGGGTTCCCGAAGAGCACGTCGCGTAATTGCTCTGTCGTCTCGAGAACTGGTCGCGCGTCTGCGTCCTTGCCCCGATCTACGGACATACTCCCCAGTCTCTCTAAATCGAGCATAGACACGGCTCACAACTGACTGGTTTACACCAAGAACATTAGCAACCTGTCGTTGGCTGCAACCTTCCTGCAAAAGTGTTACCAGTCGACCAATTTCGTAATCAGAGAGATGACGTCTAGGCATAATAAAGTGCTTAAAGAAAGAGAAAAGGTGTGAAAAATTTGCTAAGAAAAAAATTTCGATAGGAATAAATAGAGGAGGAAACTGAAGGATTTAATGGAATTGCTAAAAAGAAGAAAAAAAATCCGTGATACAATTACTGCAAGACCAGTTCTAATGAGTACCCACCCACACTCGCGGTTCGTCTTATCAAGTTGGGGCTCGCAAGCCTCAACTGTGAGAATCGTCGCGGCGCCGCGGCCACCTACAGACAGTGCGCAGTACTAACGTTACAAGCCAACGTCTCGCTGGCAGATGCCAAGGTACTCATCTCATTACACAGCGAGGAGATGCAATGGAAAGGAAGAAGTTCGGTAAAAAAAACCAAATTAAGTTCAGTAAAAAAAAAGAAGAGTGTATCTATCGCAATAACTAAGAAAGGGTAGGATATGCACACCATCTGCACCCTCTCGTCACTTCGCATTGTTCACTTTTTGTCATTGCGAAGAGATTGTATAAAAATGTGTTTGCTAAATTTCTGACATCTCTATTTTCTTCTAAAATAAAGTGAAACTAAGAAGACACAGACCACAACAGTTCAAACGCTGCGAAATCGTTTTAAAGAGGAAACGTGCCGCAAAAGAGTCATTCACCAATTTTTCAGACTGTATCGCAAGTTTCACTATCGAGGGCACAGGGTAAAAAAAATCTGATCAATGCGGCCTTTGGTACAGGGGTTACGTGTACTTTTAACTTAAAAAAAACGTAGACACCTGGAAGATTCCACAATTTTTGTTAAAATGGCATCGTGTTTTGTGAAAAATGGTAATTATGCAATATTTTACGTTATTTTGAAATGGACTGTAGACGACGAAAAAAAATTTCAACAAATTGGCAACTAAAGGTCTTTAAAGAGAAATCTCTCAGCTTTCCAAATCACTTCTGGAATTTTCTATACGATCATGCGTTCGCAAGTTACAGGTGGTCAAAGTGGAAAGTACCTTTTCTCATATGATGACGAATAACTCGGCCAATAAAAACTGTACAACAAAATTAAAAAAACGAAATTAAAGAGAAATGTTTGCTTTTTAAAAGTTTTCCATTGGAATTACCAGAAAAAATTTCATTTGGCCCATGCATCCTCTCAAACTTGACCAACATTTTTTAACATTCGCTTACTGCGCTTCATCTTTTAAAAAAAAGGAACAAATTACATAAAAATAATTTTTAAATTCCCGATTCAAAAACTAGAAACTTCGGGCTACAAAACGCTCTGTCACAATATTTTTTATAGCTATTTTTCGCGAAGATATAGGCATCTGAAAATGACCAATATTTTCGGCAAATTTTAGTGATGCTTTAATTTTGGCGCCCAGTATATATAACTATTTTACACTAAATTATCCTATACAAGTCTACATCATTATAATACTTCCACACGATTATAAGATTCTGTTTCATTCGACGTTTGCTTCGACACACTAACTTTTGCTTTTAATCCCACGTTCTTCCCCACTCATACCGTTTTCCTTTCATACCCTTAGAAGTAATAATAATCTTATACCTAAACCTAAACGAAGCAGGCGTCACGTTTCCTAAAAACGATTTCTGGCCATACTTGCAATGCAATTTCCAATTGAACATTTTTTTCTACATCCGGAAATATAGTCACAGCTACGAGAAGCAGATTATTACCAGAAAATGTGGAACAATTATGTTTCTTACATAATAATTTAAAATAAGTGCATCAAAAAACACATCCATACCTATTTTTGTATATTTTATTTTCATCTGTACCAAACATCCAAAGTATTAACACTGTGCGAGTAATTAGTACTGAGATATTAACAAAGGAAAAATATTAATCTGTCAATACAAAGAATTTTCAAATTCTGGTAAAGTGAAGAATTGAAATCGTATGTATTCCATACAAAATAAAGATTATATCGGGGGAAGTTTAATCTGAATAAATAAATGTGTTACAAATATTATTTTGTCTTGTGAAAATTATGAAGATTTTGCATATGCTTACCAAGTAATTAATTGTCTAAAAAAAAGAGTACATATAACAAGGTTCGCATTATAAACGTGATATTGATCGAATCTCGAGTATCGAAAAAACTCGTCCGAGCCCGGCCGATATTTGCTTGCCCGACACGATCAAGCTACCCGAAACGATCAAGCTTCCCGACATTCGTATGCCTCGAATACCCGCTCAAGCTCGCTCGACTTTTAGTAAACCGACCCGAGTCCGAAATGTTGGGTACCCGCACACCCCTGTGTAGCAGTCATCGTGTTGGTCTCGTGTCTCATTCAACAAAGCATACTGTAGAACTGACTTGTGAACCGAAAAAATGACGGTTCTAGCACCGATATAAGAACCGTAACCGAAACAGATATATACGGAAATTTGAGTTCCTTATAACAGTTATTCAGAATAAAGGTTCTTCATTGTTTCAGTAAGAACCGATATATAACAGTTTGAAACAGTTATTTTCGGAACAGTTTCAACCACTGCAAAAGGTTTTTCAAAATGGTATCTATTGCAAGTGTTCCTCTAGGATTAATAAAAGTTAAGATTTCAAATTTCTGTTTAACTTCTTTATAATTGCACCTTGTTTATTGTCTAACATTTCAAAGTTTTTAAATGACGGTAAACATAATCAGTTTGTGACTACTATGCATAATTAAAATTATTCCGAAATTACGTAGCTCTATTTTGCAATTGTGCTGTATACATACGCCAAACCTGTTGTACCAACCTAATGAGAGCCGCCCTAACATTTAACACAAATAAAGCATTGACGTGACATGTACCTACAATTACAATTACACATCGTTATGCATACTTGAAAGAGAAGAGAAGTTGTATACAGATGAAGTAGAGATCGGTGGCAAAGGAAAGGAGTACCATAATTGAGATATGGGAATCCAATTGCCTCGTCAAGCTCGCCAAGTGATTGTAGTCATTTCTTGCCTCGGCCCACCACCATTCTGGCATCGCCTTAACAATGAAATGATACTAACGACCAAGATTCAGCATTAGAAACAATAATACAACTGTTTTATCGCTATAAACATTACAATACCTTCTACAGTAAAACTAAGGAAGGTTGTAAGACCGACTTGGTTGATAGCAAATTAACTATTACTGTTATTAACTAGACTGCGGATTTTTATGCAAAACCAAAGTTTTTAAAGTACTTTATAAAGACAGGAGCAATCGTAGAAATTTATTTTCCCTCTTAAGTATCTTATTGGATTCAGAGTAAAATAGAAAATTCGTTGGATATATTCTATAGGCATTCTATAAGCTATAAATGCATAAAATCCGCAGTCTAGTTATTACTTATGTGTGTATACTATTGTAGTCATAGATACTTTCATAGACTGTTAATTACATTTGTAAATTATTAATCGAATGTCTGTTAGTTTTTTATTGGACATTTTACCATGAAGTTAATATATTCTGGTAATAATCTACTATTGTATACACATATAATTTTTCAAATACAATTACAAAAATTAGTAGATAGCGACTATTATAGAAATAGAAGATAGCGACAATTTATTATTTTTCATTGCGTTTCTAAGTAATGTACCTAAATAACACAGAAACGTCATGTGTACGTCTGGAGAACGTACGTTCCGGACGTTCGATACATACGGAGGATGTCCCGAAAAGGTCTACATGTCCCCACTACATTTTCGTTAAGATCTATAAATGTCCTCGGAAGGTTCTATGTACAAGTTGGAACGTTCTGAGGATGTCCTGCGTCAACATTCTCAGAACGTTTTCCGAATGCGTAAAAGTACCATTCTCTACATTTGGGGAACCTTAGGGTTCTTAAAAACGCTAGGGTAATGTCTTAATCGATGTGTAAGGAACGTTTCCCAAATGTTTCAAATTACAGTTAGATTTTATTCTGTACAAGGTGATAGAAATTAGGTTAAGAAGGGGGATGTTTTTAATAAATAAGAGGTTAAATTTCCTATAAGGAATTATAATGAAAATATATGTCTGGATGTTATGATCTGTGTGTACATTATGTTTATTTTCATTTTCAAAACAAAATACTGATTCTGTGTCGATTAGAGACAGTAAAAAAAACCACTTACTCAAAGCAAAGTACTGATTCTGTGTTGGTTAGAAACAGTTTAAAAAAAAAATATTTCTTTACATTTTTTGAGGTTTCTGCACAAAACCACTAGTGTCGTTATACTTCTCTATTGATTCTCTACAGAATGACACCTTGCTCAAGAGGTTCCATCACTTTGCACGGAATGACATTAAGCCAAAATTACTAACGAAACCATCCGAAATTAAAATTTTAAGAACATTCGTAAAACTCAAGAAGCGAATATTCCTAAAACATTTGAAATTTAAGTCTCTAGAACATCCATAGAACTTTCGGGACGGACGTTTCTAGAACATCCGAAATTTAAGGGGGGAGACTCCGTGGGCCGTGAGCGGTGTCCGCGCGCTCACACAACAACAAGAACCATGTATGTATACGCGATGCACGAGAGAGACAATCCATTTCGTAAATTCCAACTTCTATCTCAATAATTGCACAAATGAAGTTTTCACGGGTAGACTTCACTACAGGGTGGTCTGGTTCGTATAAACACCAATAAACACCATACGTTGAAAGAATTAGAATTTTAGAAAGTGTGCGATTGTGACAGACACCGCTGTAAACACACAAGATGGCTGCTCCAGTCACATTTTGTTAAATATCACACGATTTAATGGTTTTCTCGTCAAAAGCAGACCAGACCACCTTGCACATCACTATCACACTATCGTAGAAATCCGTTTTTTGTCAATTTATTACTTCTGGAAGACAGAAGTTGGTATTTACGATTCGACGAGTCCAGACTCAGGAATAAACAATGGTATAGATCAAGGATTCTCCGCTAGGGGCGCTTATTGTATTTGTCAACCATTTTGGACCGAAAGTAGTTGGCGCTGAATATTAGTGTTTCTTAACAATTTATATCTTTAAAAATTGCTCCCAATTTGTTCCCTCGGATTCTAAAACTGCTCCCATAGCACCGTTTATATTAAATGAGATATTCGCAAATGAAAAAGCAAAAATGTGTTGTGTGCAAAATAGGTAGTAAATGGTCATTTTACACAAATATTATGGTACCAAATAATTGCTCCTGATCTGTTTTATAATAATCAATAGTCAGATATCTCAATAACAACTTATTAACAAGGAGCAATTGAAATAATGTTGTTGCATAGAGGTTGGGTATTACGTCATATGGTAGGTGCTCGTTCATTGCAGCCTTTGTGGCTGTCGAGGACCAGAATTGTAGGAATATTGAAATATCTCATTAAATATAAACGTTGCGATGGGACCAATTTTTTAAGATATAAATTGTTAAGAAACACTAATATTCGCCACCAACTACGGTGGAAAATTCAGAAGATTAACTGTTAAATAATAGCCCTTTCCATACTAAACTTCTGTGAATAAACCGTTGTGATATCTCTAAAAATAACGAAGATAATTAAGGTGACCGTAAAATGCGTACATCCAACTCACCATATATGCACTTATATATATGCACATATAAGTGCATCACGCAACTGAACGGCTGAGTGGTGGGAGAGCCGGGTGATTGAAGCTCGCTTATTGTAATATTCTTGAAATTCTGGCCCTCTGCTTGTTTCAGCGTCAACCGATTTCGATGGAATTTTCAGCATGAGTTACGTATGTGTACAAGAGCCATATTTCAAATGTTCATTATAGGCTCACATAAAAAAGTTTAAAAAAGTGTCTTACTATTTTTGTTTTATTATTCCAACGAATTGCGTGTTTTGTCAAACATTTTCTTACACATTATTAAACAACTCATTACAATTGAACCAGTAAGATCTAATTATATAAACTAATCCTTAATTTCTTATAAACATACAAATCAGTTTATGGATAACTAGCTGACGTGCCCGCTCTCGCGCGGACAGTTTCATGTTGTAAATCATATTTTAGTTCGTATGTACAGACTAGACTGTAATATACCGTGAATAAATGAGCAGCATAGAATTTTGGATAGTGCAATATAAATCACATCGATACGCGGCCTTTTAAACTTTTTTGTCTGCTTGAGCCCACCGTCGGCTAAAGAACGGGAAGCGCACGTGTTGACATTGTCGCTTGACTGTTTCTTCGAATAGCTTTGACCAGCAGGAATAAACGCGCTGCTGAGCACCGAGCGAGAAGCCGAGGGCTGAACGTGAAAAACCGACGATCGAAATACAATGTAACCGGATTAGAAATGAATGAAAATGTAATCTTTTATAGTTTTCATTATACACTCATTAAAGTGTCACGAATGAATTGAGGAGATTCTGCCGGTGAATATGAGTCCAAATACGACATCTTTCGGACTATTTTCAATAATATATCATTTTTATCCGCAACGTTACGTATGAGTAAAAATTGTTCATTTACACTCGAATTTGGACGCATTCGAAAGAATCTATTCAATTTATTCATGACACTTTCATTAAGATACAGCAAATTGTAAAAGTTTAAATTTTCATTCGTACGTCATTCCTTATCTCATCCACGTCTGCTTACATTGCATGCCGATGGTCAGTCGCTGGACTTCAACGTTCGACACTCGACCCTCGCCCGCGCGTTTATTCGAGCTAGCCTAGCTGACCAAAGTTATTCGAAGGTTTATTCGAAGCCTTCGAATACAAGATCCAGATAAAAAATGAAAATTTTATTCGATACTACGAATGCAACGCTCCTCGAATAAAAAAAGTATCTGTATTCGTTGAATAAATTCTCATCAAATAAAGTTGTCCATTCAATGTTCTTTTTGCGTTCTTGTTACGAAATATGTGTGCACGCATATAATACCCGTATCAATTATGTCAATAAAAGATAAATAAATATCATTTGAAACAGCAGATTTGTATAGTATTCCTTGTTTGATGTATATCGAATACCCGGAATATTTATTGTGTCATTTTTACAATTTGTTTCTCGGGACTACAATTTCAAGTATTTCGTATATAATTCCATTGATGAGAAAAATAAGCATCATTGCCAGTACGAATAGAAAAGCTTCATTGCTGCACACATTAGTATGTAAGTATTGTTTCATTCTAGAATGTCTTTCGGTCGCGCCATGTTTTTCCTACGTTCGGCGAGAATTAAATTCTCGCCACGAACCGTAGGTATTCCATCGTTCTCCTGATGGACAGAATTGTAATGGGGGATATGAGGCAACAGCGTACCAAACTCTCGATACGGTCCGGCAACAGTGTCTTCGCGTAGCAGATACACGAACCCAACTTGATGGTAACGGGGAACAAAATTTATTTGTAGGTACTGCCGTTAGATGTCGTATTATCAAGCCGTTATAATTATCAGTTATGTGTTTCCACTAGCGTCCGATTGTTTACATCAGCGCTTCGATCGATTCCGAGTTGGCCCCGAAGGAGTCTCCGCCCTTAAGTTTTCAGTTTTCAGTCTTATTCATTAAGTATACCTATATCTTAAAAAATTATACTTTCGACATTATGCTTTTCCTAACATGCTGTAAGTAATGTATGCATTATCTAGGAAATGAACACATTTACTTGAAATATTAGACATACTTATATTCGGTTCATACTTCTGATAAAATCGTATGTAAATGCACACATGGATTATGAGTAAGTATATATTTACTAAATTTCACGCTTTTACTGTAACGTATACACTAAAGCTAAAGTATTTGCTTATTGTTATCGATAACAAATTATAAATTTAGTGAGAAGTTTAGTATCGTAATTAATCAGAGAGTATTCCCAGTTGAAAGGGGGTAAAGTTGATTGGATTATCGAAATATACCGAACCCCCGCGAGGAAGGTGTCACAAGTTAACTGTTAATTTTCATTTTATAGCATAGAATATCTTCCAACACGTAGTCGCATCTTCCAGAAAAATGTCACAAGTTGAAGTCCAATACTTCAAACGACTTGACACCAGTGTTACTTTGTTTAATATATGAAAATGAAGAATTACACGTTTCAGATTTGTGACACTTTTCTTACAGGGGTGTAAGAAATCTATGCAGATTTATTTAAAGAAATTTTGAGTAAGACGGTACCTACATGTAGAAATATGGGTAAGGAAACTAAACTAAGATTGAACATACATTAAATTAAATATAATCTAATATAGCATAATGCAAAACGTATAATAAATTAAGGGTTAACGTAAATTCCGATGAAAGCACTTCATTTCAATAATTGTAAGATAGGAAATATGAATTAAACACGTTCTTCGAATACGTGTTTATAATGTAAATATAAATGTAATCTAAAACCTTATGTATCGTTCATAACAGAGTTAAGTATAGAGGGTGAGTGATTTAAATCAATCCCCTCGAATATCTTCGAAATCGTTTGAAAAAAATTGAATGGTTTATACCTTCTTAAAGTTGATGTTCGAAAATATGCCTTTCAGCCTAAATACAGAGCTTGAACGCAATGTTGAAATTAAAATATGTCCAAAACTAATGGTTTTTCGGCATAAATAGGTTAATGCTTTCTTTTATAAGGAATGACGATCAGCATTGCCTAATACATTAAAAACTATACGATTCCATTTAAACGAGACAGATTTGACCTTCGTATGTTCTCTATACGTTCAACTATAAAGCTACTCACATAAACTTATCCTATTCCACTCTCAAGAACCGTTTCACTTTTATTTGAAGCATTTTTTAGTATCATCAACGGTTTCGAAGATGTTCGAGGGGATGGATTTAAGTGACTCATCCTATAGGTATACGAAATTTTCTCTTTTGTCAGCTTTAAATATAATAAGTAATTTAAATATTTAACGGCACTTCAAATGAGAATACGATCATAATTATGGTTGTAAATGGGAAACTATAAAATATGGTTAGGTTGTGACAAATAACATACCTTGCCTCTTATAGAGTACAAGCGACTATTTAATTGGCGAAATTGTTCCACCAAAGCTATGCTGATTAAAATGAGAAACAAATCGACGAAGTTCCACGAGAAAGTGCTCAGAATGTTAATAATGTCCACCAATATTCCTTTCCACAAGCTGTACGACGTTATAGAAAATACCTAGTCAAAGATATATTATGCGTAAGTATTTTGAGAATTGTTTCGTATGATGTTTAATATCTGAAGGTTTGGTTTCTTAAAAATTACTTTAGAGCAAATGCTTGTTTCACCTGTGGGAATTGTGATTGGAAGTAAACCCCGACGGTGTCTATATTATCTTGAACGTATGCGCATTCTTGGGCTCTGATAGAACCATGAAGAACAGACGAACCGTGCTCCACTGCAAACATTTATAATAACTTATTAGAAACAACAAAATTAATAGAAAAAAAACAATATCACACCCATATTGCACAAAAACATATGTACGTTCGGAGAACATCCGGGCCGGACGTTCTGTACATTCGGAGAATATCCCGAGAAGGTGCACATGTCCTACATATGTTCTCGTTAAGATCTGTAAATGTCGTAGGAAGGTTCAATTTACAAAGTCCTGAGATCGTTCTGTATCACATTCTTAGGACATTTTGCGAATGTGTAAAAGTAACATTGTCTGTGTTTTTGGAAATGTTTAAAGAGTTTTTAAAAACGCTATGGTAATGTCGTAAAAGGCGTATAAAAAGTTCTAAAGTGGAGTTAGTGCTATAAACCTGGATAAATGTTCCTGTTTGTGTGACATAGTAATTACTCACCTAAAGCAAATATCATCACTATTATAGTGACGATCTTGAATTTAGAAGATAAGCTTGTTTTCGATACTTTTCTGTGCTTAAGGGAAAATTCTTTTTCAAGCTTTTCCCATGTGAGCATCAAAGCAGGCCACTGCATCGCCAGTCTCAGAAAAAGTATGGATGCAATTATATTTGTTCCGTTGAAAACAAAGGTAGCTGATTCACATGCAAAAATACAACGTGTTACTTCAAGAACATAGTACAAAATATCCTTACACATCATAGACACACGATTGAACCCTTATCAACCATTTTATTATTATCTTTATATATTGATATAACTACTGATCAAATGGAAATTTAATGGAACTAGTACCAGTTGATCCGACGTAACTCAGATATGAAACTTCGTATACGTAAAAAACACTCCATCCGAATTTGGCCTTATAAGATCACGCGTTGTTGAACTCAGTTTTTGTACACTTTAATTGTATATGGACATTTCGCGAACATTACAATGTATTCATAGCACTCGGGACGATTCTGTTTTCACTGACGACTGTTTCACAGAAAGTGAGTGTGAGTCATTCTTATTCAAGATTCATTTCAGCAAGATCTGTCCTGTAACTTCCAATTACGAATATACACAATTCTAGTTTTACATCATTACATTAAATTACGTTATATTTATATTACGAACCAGAGTCGCGAACAGCGCGAGAGGCCGGTGACTGTAGTTTTTCCAATGATTATCTCTGATAACCAGTTGTGTACAAACGTTGTCTAAAAAACCATAGCCATCTATTCCCGCATTTCACGTAGGTTTTGCAAGTGTTACATATGAGGAATAATTTACATTTTCAATCGTATTTAACCGCGCGCCTGGCAACGGAAAACGCCCTAAAACTCCGTCTGTTTATTCCTCGAGTAATAGGGGGAGCGTAACATCGATCAACTGGATAGCAACCAGGGACAGAATCATTATTCACTTGCGACCGTTAGGATTTCCTTGTAGAGAAATTGTCATGAAACCCCACCCAGTTTTAGGACTATATAAACCCTTTTATTTTAACCCTCCGTGGGCCAGAGTAGTACAATCACTTGTACAGTCACGACGTATTATATCCGGTAAAGAGTTGGTTGTATCCAGTGAGATTGGGCTTAAGTTCCCATTCGAATCATCAGTTAACCTTATAGAATCCGCGAGTTCGGTTGAAGTTCTATTCAGTAATCTTTTAAAACCGCTCCTAATCCCTGCATTGCCAGTGAGTTAACACCGTGTATTTCATTGGTAATATTATACTTAATACTTTACCGCGACTACACTACACATACTTATATCAAAAGACTGATTGTGTAATATTCAAGCAATATGAATTTCTATGGAAGTCAGACTCGAAATGTGACCGCCGAGGATACATCCGTGACTCTTTATATAAGCGTAAATCAGTACAAAAGTAGCGTATGCATCCCCTCATCGGAACTGTAATTCCTAGAAAATCTAGATCGTTGCATCAGCACCGAAGTGACGGTCTTTGTCTAAGCCTGTACCTTCCAGCGTCCGAGAAAGGATCATGGGTTAAAAAGAAAGCCTTCTTTCGTGTTGGCGTACGTGACAATGCCTATAGCAAATTCAGGGCTGACAACAACAGTTACGGCGAACAGAACCATCGAAACGTGTCTAGAAATGTTCAACTGTTACGGTCCTCTCGAAATTGTGGTAACAGACCATGGAACACAGTTTACGACCGAGGATTTATTCTAGTTTTTTATAAGAAGATGGAAATCAAGCAATTTCAATCAGCAGTCTTTCATCTTCAGTCCAACTGGCAGGTAGGGCGCATGGTGTATATAATCAAGCGAGCCATTTCAAAGGAAACTACTGTTACGCGGAATTTAATTTTCGGGCCGCGGACAGCCGTGTGGCCGTGGTCCGCCGCGGACAAAGCCCCTCTCTCGGTCTTCGCAACTATCCGCGCCTCCACGAGTTGAACGCCTGGCACTCCCCGAGTGCCGGTATCGGGTAGGACCTACGATACCTCCGAAATCTACACGGGATCGAGACGACGAGAGACTGACGGTTGCCGGCTAGCACGCGGAGATTCTCCTCACGGCAGGAGGCGGTTCGCGAATGACTGGAAATCGTCATGCGTTAATTCAGACGATTATTGACGCAACGCGTCAGCCCTTGAGGAAAACGCTTACAATCGGTGGTCTACGATAACGAATTCGATAACAGTTTGGTCCGGAAATTCGGTACACGTCGCAATATAGACTATCTAACAAATGATTCGACTACGGCGCCTCCGCGAGATGGTATGCGCGGTACGCTATTAGTTGAGGAACCCCGAGGAAATCCGCCCGCCCGCTACTCGCGCTCGCGCTCGCGAACTCGCTACTTCTCACTGAAGGTGAGAAGTTGACCGATGTTACTCGACTCTACTATCCCGCAATCAATCACAGAATCACCCGAGATAGAAGAGATGTACAGAAGTTGGCTGCGCTCGCCGTCGTCTCACCGGTCTCTTTCTTACTCGCGACTAGATCGACGCCTATTTTAACAAAGGAAACGCTCCTGCTTTACTTGATCGCTCGCAACCGAATGGGGATCCGCGGTTTTCGGCAATCGGCCACAATGCTCGGCGGTACCCCCCTTTCCCCGTTACTCTATGGTTCCTTTCCCCGTGTCCCCGCCGCGAATTTCCCCTGGAGTATTCGCCGGTCTTCAGGGACGCCGTGATTCCGAAGACTCCTCGGGCCCTGAGGGTTTCTCCGCCAATAATCCCGACTCACCTAGAGTCGGGTTGGAGTACGGCGCTTGGTCCCCTGGACGCGCCTGTACTCCTCCAATGATGGGTCTCTCCTGCAGCCATCTCCGTTGAGAGTCCTTTGCAGAGGGAGGCACCGGTCACTGCCAATATGGTCCTACCCCATTGGTCCTGGTGTTTGCCAACTCTCCAATCGACCGGTTGCCTCACGAGGTCGGCTCCTCCACCGTTGTTTGGCGGTGTGGTCCTCTCGTAGGGCAGGAGACCCTTGTCCTAAAAATCCAATATCGGCTCCTGGTCAGGGTGGGGGAAAACGGTTCCGGAGTCAGGTGTCGCCTCACGCTCGCTGCGGCCCTGTAATTGCGCGCAGTTGCTCGGCGCGGTTAAAGACGCAGTTAGTGGGTATTTAAATGTTCGCAAGTTCTCGGGATTCCTCTAGGAGCGCTCGTGTGCCTGCGAGTGTGTGTGCGAGCGACGTTTTGGCTGGCAGAGGGCGGTCCGGTCCCACACGTACTACGCTCAAATTTGGAGCGGTTGCGTTACGTTGTCAAAAAGCAGCGTAACACTGCAAACTGGAGAAAAGAACTATGTTTGGGTATAGCAGGTAAATAAATCAAAAGTTTCCTTAGACCGATTTGGACTTGTAATATTAATTCGATTTACTCTAATAATAATTCGATTGCTTGTCAAGAAAAAATAGTCTGTGCCAAGTTTCATCCTCTATCACAATCAGGAGGGTAGTAAAAGGGAAAATTCGGATTATTCGTTCTTCGACTATTTTCCCTATTTAATGACGTGCACAAATTTTGTGAAAAATCTGATACATAGTATTTATCGGGGCGCGTGTTGGAGATTTTTTTGCGATTTTTTAGTCGTGAAAAATAATAAATTATGGAAAATATTTTTTTCTTATTGAAGTTTTAGCGATACTACATTTATCTTTTCACAGTAGCAATATATTATCATAAATCGTATCCTCATTTTTTTGAGATTTTTTGGTAGAAGCGTAGTTTAAAAAGTCAAAAACCGATTTTTTCCGTAAAAAAGTAACTTATACTTTGAATTTTTATATTATCTTTATTTAATAAGTATGCGACGTACGTCGCCGGTATTTAGGGGAGGTGTGCCGACTCAGTCGATATGCCAGGGATCGTTGTGCGAATAAGTGGAGAGTCGTCTGGATATGTTTAATAACTAAAGTTTATTATCTAACAACTTACATTCTATTTGGTCTTATTTCTAAATTTTACCTAACTCTTTACCGCGGGTTTCTTATTCTACGATAAGATTAATTCTACTACTGATTCATCGGCATGGGGAATCTCGGTGTGAGAGGCTACGTGTTTGTTGTGTACGGTAGTGCACAAGAGACGGCACGAATACAGCGTGCGCGAACACGAGATGTGTTGCAGACGGTATCGTGGACAATGGTGCGCGCGAGACGGTGAGCACGAACGGTGCAAGAGATTACAGCGCCGCGAACACGGTCGGTGCGAGAAAGTGCAGCGGTGAGAACGGTGGTCAGAGAGAAAGACGGTGCGAGCACGAACGGTGCGAGAGAGTACAGTCTCCTGGACGGCAGTGCGAGCGAGAGGGCGCGAGCACGGACGGTGCGAGAGAGTACAGTGGCGAGAGAGTGGCCGTCCGCTAGACCATCTCTGGCGGGTGACTGGTGTCAGGTGAAGGAGCGGTCGGGATGCTGCCAGGCCGGTTGCTTAACACTAGGTTTACGGGCACTTATCGTGTAGGTATTGTGGGATGAATGGTTCGTTGTGCGTGCGTGCGTGCGTGCAGGCGACCGGATCATGTTGCGACGGACCGGCGCCGGTATGTTTGGGAAACTCGAGTGACTGGGAAGATGTGAACGAAGAGTGTTTAGAATTGAGCGATAGGGAAGTGTATGTTTTTACGAATGTAAGCTATGGATGCG